GTTTTTTCATATATTTCACTATAGTAGTATAGTGTTTTAGAGGCTCTTTTAGAACCCTATCAGGAACGGTATGTAAATCATTTTTTTTCCTACTATCAGGAATCAGGAATGGTATTTTTGCTAAACCATGTTATTCAAAAATTTTTATTGATACACAATCCGAATACCAGTAAAAATCTTAGATGCTTAAAAAATTTTCTAATAGTATGCGAACGGATCCAGTATTTTTATGGGGCGATTTATCGTTTCACAAAATTTAAGACATTTTACATATTATAGTATTACAAAAAAAAAAAAACATAAAATTAGGGTGCCTAGTGTAACTATTATTCGGGAGAGTTAGATTGAACAGTCTCAAATAGTTACGGAAAGATCCAAACTTCTGCGACTGAGATAGTTTTTCAATTTTTACTTAATAAAGGTCTCTTCAACTCTACACTAGCTTACTTCCTTTATTATTACAGTTAAAATCGAACAGAATCTCTGTCTTTACTAAACTCAAAAGCCGTACTTACATACAATTAGGTCGATTATACTACATGTTAACGTGCTACACGTTGACGTATTATCTCGAACTTTCGAAATTAATTAACCTTTTACCCCTTATTGCACGTTGGCATGCTACAAGTTAACGTGCTATGTACGTACGTAAAGGGGGGATCATAAGTTAAATGACGGGTATATACAATTTTCAACCTCGATATTGAGCAACATTTAATGGCTTATATAAAAATGGAATGGAAGTTGTTTATACTAAATAATAAAACGACCTATATACAAATTCGGGGGTAAAAACTAATTTCGATACGTGGAAATTCGAATCTCATATCTCAAATTTCGAATTTGTGACACTAGTTGTGCAATGCAATCAATTTCAAGTATCGGTATTGTTCATCTTGTCAATTGATTAAACTTATGATATACTTATGAACTACCCAGCATTTCCTTCAAAATTTTACGGGCAATGTGACATTTTGTATGATCAGATTTCAAGATCTGGTGTAACGTAACACGATCAGGAAATTTCTAAACAAACGTTCGTTTTGTCAAAAATCGTTTATAACTCAAACAACTGCATAGGAAATCCTTCATGCTTTAGCAAAAAACTTTCTTGAACGATGTTACCCCTTAACATAGATCCAAACCCTAACTTAAAGATTTTTTGGCACGATCGCTTTGTGTCCGTAAAATTTGAAGGCGGCACTCGGGAACAGTTTACTTATTTGCGCGAGTACCACAGACCAAAAAAGGAAATCGAATTTTGTAAACAAAAGTAGGGTCAGGGCTAGTGATGCTGGAGAATTTTTTCCACAATTGTGGAAATGATTCCCCAATCGTAGAATGATTCCACAAAGATGTGGAAATGATCTTTAACAATTTTAGAAATTCCACACTTGCACAAGTGTGGAATAGAGTTAATACTTCAATCCGGATATATTTATATCCGGATTAATATTTTGTCATAAAATTATAATAAAACATAAGTTAGTAATTTAAATGCAGATTTATTTTATATCCGGATGTATCCGGATATAAAACATAGTGAAGTGTTAACTCTAGTGTGGAATTGTCACATTGATTCTACAATTCCAAATCATGCGAATTGTGAATTGCCAATTTTATATATCATGCAGAAGTTACATTTTTGACATACTGTAAATCCTTGTCTCAATTTTTACTCTTGCGCAATGATATATTAAGATAATTAAGAGTAGCTATACTGTTTTCAATGATCTTGGCTTAAATAAATGCTATGATTCGGAATATTAATTTAAATCTAAAATTATCAAAAAAGGTATGTCTGTTCTCAAGATATTATATTATTTGGTAGCGCATGCGAAAATAAATACGTAGCTATTAATATCTAATATCATTGAATTGTATGTAGCATTCGTTTAGACTCAAAAAATTCATTACTATTAGTTCTTCTCAAATTACAAAAAAATTTTTTAGATAATATAATTTATTGATTCATTCGTTTCTGGTCATCTTGTAAATGTTATATTAATATTACTATAAGAACGCTTAATGTAAATTTTCAGAAAACTAAACTCACTATAGCTTAATACTAACAAATTCTAAATTTTTACTTTTTAACTTTAAGGCCGTATAAAATTTATGAAATGGTTTTCATAACTCGGCCGGGTCATAAGAGCCAGATTGTTAACTTTAAAATAAAATATATACGCCGGATCCGGGTCATGAAAACTAAATTGTAAAATTCAAAAATTTATATAATTAGACATATTCAAAATGTTCGTGCTTAATTTGTTTATTTTGTCATAGCGCCGTAATACTGTTCTGTTGTATCTAAATATCATAGCTAAGTTGAAATCTAAAAATATATTTAATGGTTTAATTAATAGGATGCAATTTAAAATGATTCTCAAACACCCTGGTAATGGGCAAAATGTATAAATTTTATAATTATAATTAAAGCTCATGATTTTATTTGTGATTTTATGTTTAACTCAGAATCCTTGTATTAAATTTTTATATTCGCATCAATTTTGTTGGGTATAAAAGGATTTGAAATAAACTATTTATGTATGTTGTAGGTGGGAATGTATACCAGACAACCTGGAACTCACTACAGCAGCATCAATGACTGCAAGCAGAGAGAATATGGCCCTAGCAGAACCAATTAGAAATGAGGAGGAAAAAGATAAGAATAACAACGATATGTTACATGAAAAGCAATCCCTACTCAACAATAGAACTGCAAGCATAACGCAACCAGGAGTGGATGAAGTTTCACTGAAGTTACATATAGCAAAAATAAGAAAAAAAAAAACAAAAAAGATAGAAAAGAAATTCTGGCTCCATATAAAAACTCAAAACATCACAATAATAAGAGAAGAACACGTGATCACAATCGTGATACTTGGGGTAGTTCGAATTGATCGATCATAACCCCTGTAGATCATCCACAAAAAATTTTCCAGCATGTAACTAAGCTACTTCACCAATTTCTGCTAATGTTGATGCCAACATTAACCACAATGTTCACCTCAACATTGATCTCAATATTGACATTAATGTTAAGGTGAACGTTCATGTCAACATTATGTCAACGTTAACCTTGTCAAGATAATACTATACATTTTATGTTTCTTTAACTTTTTTTAATAATTTTATTATTATAATTACAACCACATACAAAATTATCTAATTTACAAAAAGACAACAAAAAAATAATGAAAGAATAACGAAAGAATGTCAAAAAAAGTACTAAAAATATATGAAAAAAAACACCAAAAAAATGGTGAAGAACATTAAAAGAAACACTGAAAAATGTAGAAAAAGTGCCAAAAAAATGATGAAAAAGCACCTAAAGAATGTTGAAAGAAGCACTGAAAGAACACCCAAATAACATCAAAAGAAACACTGAAATAATGTCAAAAAAAACACTGAAAAAACCTCAAAAAAAACACTGAAAAAACCTCGAAAGAAGTACTGAAAAAACGTCAAAAAAGCACAAAAAAAAGTACTAAAAAAACATCAAA